TATATGGCCATTAATGGGAAAGTGGTTTACTGTGGTACACCCATAATTTTTGGAATACTGTACTATGTAACATGTAGTTCTGTGTACTAATAGAACATGGAAAACCTTCCTAAGACAGAATATAGAAAGAAACCATTGCCGTTTATACGTGTATGTGACTTTTTTTTTTTAAAGGTCTGGAAGATAACACAAAAAACTGATCACTGATCGCCTCTGAGGGGAGAGAGGGACGGGGACAGAGTGAAGAAATTAAAGGAGGAGTAGTTTTTTCCATTTAAAGGATCTCTGAATACATGTATGGAATTTTTTTTTTGGTACTGGGGATCGAACTCAGGTCCTTGCGCTTGCGCAGCAGGCAGCAGAACCACTGAGCTAAATCCCTGGCCCTGGATTTTTTTAAGGGGCTTGAGTAATGAAGTGATTGTGTAATGGCAGTGCTGAGGGGTGATAAATACAATTTTCTCAAATGGGGAATTAATGAATAATGAGGAACATGAATCAATTAAATCTTGTTTTAAGCAGCTTGAATTTGATGAGAAAATATTTGTAAAAGGGCCAGGAGAGAGTGAGCATGTTTTACGCCAAGAAGCAAGTACTGGGAAAGTAGGAGACTGTAGACCTACAGGGGCATTGAGGGATAGGTAGGTCTTGGTGAACCATTGGTGAATGGAGGTAGAATTGGAGGGGAAAGTGGTACAGCAGAAAGTTGAAAGACTTCAAAACAATGACTTCTTGGCCAAGTGTGGTGATGCACGCCTGTAATCCCAGAATTTGGGAGGCTGAGGCAGGAGGATTGCCATGAGTTCGAGTCCAGCCTGGGCTACATAGTGAGTTCAAGGTCAGCCTGAACTACACAGTGAGACCCTGTCTCAAAAAAAAAAAAAAAGACATTAGGTGTACTTGAATGTGAAGATGAAACAGCTGATGACCAGAGTGAAAGGAGAATGTGGCCAGAGACTAGGGATTTGCTGGGAGACTTTGGAGTGGAGTATCATGAATTAAAAATGAGACCAGGCTGGGGATTTAGCTCCATGGTTCTGCCACCTGCCTCGCAAGTGCATCATCCCAGGTTCGATCCCCAGTAGCAAAAAAAGATCAGTCTTTTCAAAGCTTTTCAAAGTTATATTTTCTCACAGCAACCTATGGCCTTAATGTCCCTCCTCCCCCATATGAGGAATCGAACTCAGGACTTTGCGCTCATCTGGCAGGCATGGCACTGCTGAGCTAAATCCCCAGGCCTGTGGCATACCTATGGCATGCTTGTTACTGTGTTGTTTTTTGAAGATAAAAAGATGTTTACGTTGAGTTGCGTTTTCTAAACTAAAAGCTCAGTATTCAGGTTTAATTACAGTGTTGGCTCTTTGTGATATGTGAGTTTTGGGTTATAGTTTGGCTCTTGGTCTCTAAAAGGAATAAAAGGTTTGCCACTGCTGGCCTTTGGGTTACTGATAGAAAAATTTGTATTTAGAACAATTCACAGCTGGGGCTTTACAGGGGGAAGAACAAGGGGCAAACAACTAGAGTAATTTACTTTTTTTTTTTTTTAATGGTACCACGGATCGAACTCAGGACCTTGCGCTTGTGAGGCAGGCGTTGGAACCACTTAGCTAAATCCCTGGCCCAATTAGACTAATTTAAATGATGGACTGTCTCCATGAGGGTGGCCAACTATAATCTGAATCCAGTCCATCCTACCACCTGGTTTTGTGAACAAAGTTTTATTATAATACAGACACACCTATTCTAAATTCAAGCTTGTCTATAGCAGCTCTTGCACTACAACAACATAGTTGAGTAGTTTTAACAGAAACCATGATTGGGCACAACTATTTACTGCATGGCCTTTTTACAAAAGGATTTTTGCTGATCCTAAGTATGGTAGGATTTAAGCGAGCAAGGTGCTTATAGGCTCTGAGCATACACAGTTGGGACTTAAGTACAATGAGTTCTAATCCGGGAGAACATGCATAAGTGGGATTCATTCATATCCGACAGTGAGTCTTACACAGTATACCTGTGAAAGTTTACAACTTGAATGTTTTTAACTTGGGGACTTACTGTACCAGCTGCAGTGGGATTGAGAAAGTTACAAAGTTGACAAAAGAGGGAAATTCAGAGTCAAATTTTAGGAGTAAAGACTGCAGAGACCACTTAGATCTTACTGATTTAACTGATGAAATTTGAGTAGTGTGGACTAGAGGCCAGAGTTCAAATTGGGATTATAAGTAGAATGTTTGGTGATGATACAGAGAAGAAAGTAAGAGGTTATCCTTTTTTGGGGCGGGGGGGTCTCACTTTGTAGTGCAGACTGGCCCTGAGCTCACTATGAAGCCCAGGCTGGCCTCAAACTTGTGGTGATCCTCCTGCCTCAGCCTCCTGAGTGCTGGGATTATAGTCATGCACCACCACTCCTAGCAGTAAGAGGATATCTTTAAAAGATACTTCACAGATAACCTGTTGGTACTGAGAGCTTAACTACGTCTATTTTAGATGCTTTCCTCACCTGTATTAATGTAGCTCATATTCCCAGTTTATAAAGCACTGAAACATCCATACATGTTAGTTGATTTTCTGCTTTGTATATGGTATTATTATTAAAATAATTTGCGATATATTTCTATATGGTAAACCAGAGTATTTTTAGAATGTGCTTACAGCTCTTTGTATATGAAGACAGAATATTGTTGGATTTTAAAATCTGCTTTTTTTGCCCTTTTCATCATAGGTATATGAAAATTATCCAGCTTATGATTTAACTGAGAGAAAAGATTTCATAAAAACAACTGTAAAAGAGGTAACTATTTCATTCTTTTCCTGCTTTGATCATTTTGGACACAAGACTACAGAAATTATATGGAAATATATGTTTCAAAGTATTCATGCCTCTAAGTTATATTAATAGTTTGAATAGCTAATGGCAGTCTAAACTCAGTCGTAAGATGAGAATCATCGAGAACATGTTCCCGCTGCCAACCCGAGCCAAGAGAAGATCCATATTTAGCAGCTAATTTATATGGATCCCAGTGACTGTCCAGCATTACAGTCACAAAACCAGTGTGAAAAACAATAGTTTTATTTATGTATGCCTAATTATCTGTTGGGTATGGTAAAAATGTTTCTCTTTCATTACAGCTGATTTCTTGAGATAGAAGACAAAGATGACTTGTTCCCATAGTTTGGAAGATCTGATTTATACATTATACCAGCAAAGAGAATGTATTTCCTTTTCTAAATCCTTGTGTTGGTAGAACTTACTGCTGACCTTTTAATCTTGGGTGTTAATGTAAATTTGAGTTTGTCGTTTTAAATTGCATTTTTGTGCTGTTTTTAGTTTAAAATCTTGCATGGCAGTAATTGTTACTTGCTCTTATAGTTGTATTTTGTACATTTTGAATTTCTTTATATAAGGTTAGATTCCTGAACTGTGGGTTTTAGTGCACTTAATATTAGCTTGCTTAAGACATACTTTTAATCAAGTAGGACAAAAACTTATAAGTGGCATTTATACATGCAGAGACTATTGCAGTATTTAGTATATGAAATATTTTGAATACACATCTCTTCTATCAGTGAACTCAGTGGTCCATCATGTTAAATTACACAAGCTGTCTGGATGACTAAATCAGAACTTTCTTCTGCATGTGTATATATGCCAAATTGTCAGCATGACAGAAGTGACAGATATTATTTTTGTATTTTTAAAAAAACAATTTGTTGTATATAAAGTTTTTTATTTCTTTTGTGCAGATCAATTTTTAAACTCATGTAGGTAGGTACTTTACACTCATTAGCTATGAAGCGTCAGTGTTAGCCAGGCAGTGTGACGGAGCAGTGGAAGTCAGAACTCAGTGATGAGAACACTGCAGGGACTGTCTAGTTCTGCTTTGCCCTGAAAGTGTCATCAGTTTAGTTTTAGTGTTAATTCTGCGAAAGCATAATGTTTCATATTAAGCACAGACCAAAATCAACACATCAAAGCTTCAAAAACTTTGGGACAGGGTTAAGATTAAGTACAGTACATTTGCCCTACATTAAATGACTGACTTTTTTTTTTTAACTGCTTTTGACCATATAAAATGCTGATATTTACAGGAAACCCAGCACCCTTCATAATTAGGATAAAAGTACTAGGTGTAATGCCAGAAGAGAATATGTAGGCAGTAGCAGGTATCTCTGACAAAGTATTTCTCACAAGTGATTGTATACTTATTTTTAGCTTTGAAGAAATATTAATGTATTGGAGTTTTACGTTTTGGCCAATCAGGATTCTAGGTGATCAATATATGGACCACTTCTGAATTTAAGAGACCAGACCTGTGTCTTTTAAATTGACTGTCTTAATTAGTTTACTAAATAAACTTTCTCTGAATTTTAAAATGAAACATGCTGCTTATGACAAAATGAGGTATTTGAGGTACCAAATGAGTGTTAAAATCTTTGCATCATAGAACAGAAACAGGCAAGAATGATAGATGTTGAATGTTATACCATATTTTCACAGGTCTGACTTGTTCCTTCACAAAGTTAGGACATTAGGGAAAGGTACACTTAATACAAATGAATGGGATAAGCAACTGAGACCTAAAATTTGGCCTTTGATTTTAAATATTTAATTTGTTCCTATAAACTTTGTCAATAAAAAAATCATTGGTGTTTTAAGTCTCTTGCATTTGATGTTTTAACTCATTCCAGGTTTAAATATCATTTACCCCTAGGGTCAGGAATTTTTAAATGGCATTAACCCCATAACCTGATGATTTAGAATGCTCTTCTCTTCCGTGATAACTGACCATTTTGATGTGATTTCTCAAAACTACAGATCAAGGTTAACATTTATTTTATGACATTTACTATAAGGGGGATAAGGAATAAATGCCTATGACTTAAATGTATAAAGAGGGTTTGGAGGTAAGGGACAGATTTTGTGTGTATAAAAGTTCTTGATGATCGCATGCCCATTTAATGAGTATTCCGTTTTCATCACTGCAGTACACAAAGGATATTTGAAAAACAAGTCTAGTTTTTATTAAGCAGTTTTGCACAACCAGCTACTCATGATCTGAAGTTAAGTCACTGTAAATGTTTGTATTCACTGCTATTCAATTACAAAATCTTCAGACAACATTAAAAACATTCAAAGTAACTGGAAAATACCATAGTTCCTCAACAAAATGTCAAATGAAGTATGTCACTTGAAAAATGAAAAGCAATTTTTTAAATACATGTACCATACTTAAAGTAGTTTTTTCCCTGCTTGTAGGTAGCACAGTACAAATTTAAGTGCCCAGGAGAAGCTGAAGTAATAATTTACTGTGAACCACTTCAAACAACATATTTTGCATTTATCCCTTAACACATGCTATTAAACATATTACGTAACACTTCTAAGCAGAATACTTCCTAATCAGTACCAATGAGTCTCAACCTAAATATCACCATTTCCCTGTGTTCACGTTGAAGTATACAGCTATTAACTTTCTTTTGTATCATACTTTGATGGGAGGGTTTATCTAAACTAAAGTTCACTGTATATTCTTTGCATAAGAGATCATTCTTACAAGCTGATTTATTTTAAATTTCAAAAATATCAAATATTTTGAAAAGTGGCTTTAAAGTTATTTTAGCCCCTTTATTAAAACAGACCAATATAATTCAAAGAATTGTTCAAAGACTTTTTAAAACAAAAGCACATTTCTAACCTGTAAACTGAAGTTTCTTAGCAAAATAGGCATCCTGAAGACCCTGAAACCAATGTTTATTGAACATTTTTTTGTCAAAAGTGAAAAAGGAAAAAGATTTGGCCCTGTCAGGCTCATAAGATATGGCTTATAAAATATATTTACCACAATAACTCACATTTTCATGCAGTTTTCCAGTGGACCTGCCTATGGAAAACTAAACATAATTATGCAAAAAATACTCCTAGAGAGTGAATCAATTTTAAAAAATGAGAAGGGGTTTTTATTCTAACATCCTTTTGCTAGCGGTTGCCAAAATTTAGGGATATTAAAAGTTAGCTACCCACTCAAATTTGGCTTTTAAGAAAAACAGCTGTATTTTGTAGCATACAGACCACACTCTACACCCCATTCTCAATTATAAGACCCCTATGCTGTTTAAGGATTGAGAGTTTTGCTGTTTTGCCAACGAGTGGACAAATACATCACAAAAACACCTGAATTTAGTTTCTTTTTGAATACCCAATGGGAAAAAATATGTACAGTATAAAATAGTCTTCTAGAAACTTCATTTTGCCTTCAGCCAGAGAGTTTATGGTGTATCAAAAAAGAAAGTTCTTATCTAAATTTTTAAGTACTGGTTAATTCTGGAGCTATATAAAAATATTAAGGCTCATTGGTAAAGATACTGGTAAGTTCACAGAACAAAAACACATGGCTTTATCTAGTTTGTTAGTCATTCCTGCTCAATTTACTCGGTTCTGTAATGTATGAAAAATTCATCAGCCCAACAAAATGTCGAGTCTCAAGGGAACCTTCAGCCATGGAAGAATCTTACCCAAGTCTCAACTTTAGGCTGTATTCTGCCCTACTCCGAAATCCAGAGGACTTCAGTGCTAGTTGGCCTTGTGGAAAATGCAATTAAATATAAGTGCTCATAAGGACTTTGGGGGCGGTGCTTCCAGAGTGGGTTTACATTTTCAGAATACTTTAGAAACCTTTCAGGTTTGCTATCCAGAGCAGGCGTACACACAGACACACACACACACACAAAATTGAGGTTTAACCTGTGTTTCAAACTTTCCCATTTGGGGTACAGAAGAAAGCTAGCTCCAGACAAATTCTATTCAGAAGGCTGCGATCTTGCTTGCTTCTCGAACACCACTCAAATAAGCTCCTGTAACAGTTTGTGGAAAATGCCTGTTTGTTGCCTGTAAAAACAAAAAATTGCATCATTTGAGATAACCCATAAAAAATGTATATCAAAAAGTAATACTTTCGGAAGCTTACACTCTATAGTCTTTCTAAAATAAAGATTGGTGCCACTCCTCTAACCTCATAATGACACTCAAACTACTCTGGTTATTTTGCTGGGCTTTGCCAAATTCATCGATTCTGTAACACTCAACTGCAAAGTACTGTGACATTCACTAAAATGCCAAGTATCTGTGCCATGTCCTTAGTTAAGAACAAAGAGTAACAGAGAAAGTGGCAATGACAAACCTTGCAGAAACAGGCTTCAGAAGGTGAGGTAATAAACCAAAAAAAAGCAAGAAAGGTTCTAAATCTGCACAAGACCCTAAGGCAGCTCAGCTCAGTCTAAAACAGTCATCCTCTGGGAGTGGCTGACAGCTGGGCCTGGTGTGCAGCCATTCTGCACCTGCTGAGTTCTCTCTTCAGCAAATTTATCTAGCTTTAAGATGGCATCGTGTTATCACTCAAATCACTGGCAAGACAAAACATTAACTTACTAGCTAAAACTATGAGACCTGTGATTTCAAACTAAAACAATATATGACTGCAGATGAAAGTGCTTAACAATTCACATTATGTTTAGGGTAAGGAAGAAAGAGGTAGTAACAAAAAGCAAAACAATTCTGCAAAGAATCCTTTCAGTCAGCCATGAGGGGCACTAGGAACCACAGAGGCACAGGGCAGCATGGGGTCAAAACAGAACTGTTTTTGGGGGAATTTTTTTGGTACCGGGGATCAAACTCGGGTCCTTGCACTTGTGGGGCAGGTGGTGGAACTACTGAGCTAAATCCCCGGCCCAAAACAACTGGTTTTAAAGACTGCATGAACAATTGGGTCACCACATTCTAAATATCTCTGCTGCAACTCCTCAAGAGATTTCACTTCAAGAGCAGGGTTGAGGCACCAACAGTGAGGATTGAAGTCTTCACAACTAATAGGCCTCTGGCATCCAGCTATGCCAGCTATGACCACACAGGCTTAATGTTCCTGGATAGTGATGTCTGGGCTCTTTTAACCATCAGTTGAGCTTGGTGGACCTTTTAAGTGGCTTTTCAAAAAGTACCTTGCTCAACTCTATAAGGAGTCAAGTCAAGATGGGATATATAACATGTAGACTAAAGCACACAAAACAGGAAATCTAAGGAAGCCAGGTAGGGTGGCAACAGGAAATAAAACAACCAGAAGCCTTAATCCTGGTTTAAGAAACAAGTAATGAACTTGGAAGACTGCAAAATCTCCCCAAAAGTAGAATAAAAAAGATTTAAGTAGAAAAGTAGAAGAGAAAAATCAGTCAAATCTAAGAGCTCCAAGGCAGGGAACAGACAATTTAGGAAGGAAAAAACAGGAGAAAGTGATCAGAAGCAAGAAAACTAGGACTAAAGGCCATGAGTCTAGATTACAAGGAATGAAGGGAGACAAAGGGTCAGAGATGAGAAGAGCAACACTTTCCAACAGAAGTAGATCAGGAAAGGAGAGCGGGATCTTGGAGCGTGGGACAGCATGTGATGATCTTAGATCAGCTGGAGCAGGTGAGAGCCGAGGAAAGAGAACTGCAAGAAGGTTCCTATGCTGGAACCAACAGCCAGCTCACATTCAGCTGGATTACAGCTGACTGAAGGGGGGGAGGTGCTGGAGGAGCGGTACTAAGATAAGTAAGCTAATGACCAAGGGGCCAGTAGGACTGCCAAGAAAACGAGGCTGAAGAGCTGAATCTATGACTACCTTGGCACAGCAGTAAACATTTACAGGGCCACGTGACAGAACAGATACCAATCTAATTAACTGAAATAAGAGAATGGTACAGAGAGACTAACTGGACTACACTTTTATTCTGATAGGAAGTCAGTAGATAATTCTGCCTAATGTTTTCTTTTTTTGGTACCGGGGATCGAACTCAGGACCTTGCACTTTCAAGACAGGTGGCGGAACCACTGAGCTAAATCCCCGGCCCAATTCTACCTAATATTAAATCAGATGATGAAATACAAACATGATTTTAGGATATGAAGGAATCCACGAGAAACAGCTGGAAGAGTTAAAACTGGCAGTCTCTTCAGAGTATGAATGAGGCTGGCTCCCACTATTGAAAAGGCTTCTGCTATCTGTCGTAAGACTTTTGAGATTATCTGACTTGGGTTTTTTTTGGTACCAGGGATCGAACTCCGGACCTTGTGCTTGTGAGGTAGCCAGCAGAACCACTGAGCTAAATCCCCAGCCCTGACTTGTTTTTAAACTCTAGGCAGACAGCACTTTAGAAGAAAGGAATCAATAAAAATAATTGGGTTTGGAATCAAGATACAAACCTCGCCAGCAAAAAAGACAGTTCCTTGTATTTCTTCAGCAATGATATCATAGGCCTCTCCGCTCCCAAATGTCTTCACAAAACTGTATGCCATCTGGATCCATGGTTCTGTGCTCCATCGAGTGACAAAATACTTCGAGGGATCTGGGACCTCCTGTGTCCAATGGAAGCAATTATAAAAGATCAAGAAGGAACTCAAGACACACAGTGCAACCCTAAATTAGAAATGTACATTCCTGGGCTGGGGATTTAGCTCAGTGGTTCCGCCGCCTGCCTCGAAAGCAGAAGGACCGGAGTTCGATCCCCGGTACCAAAAAAAAAAAGAAATGTACATTCCTGCCTCCTTCCAGGACCTGAGTTTATTGTGGTTGTACCCCAAACACCAGTTCTCAGTATGTTCCTCCCATGCCTGTAAACTCTTCCTCTGCTCCAAACCATACACAACGCCCTCACCTCACCCCCATCCATCAGAAACACACTCTGCCCACCTTCTGGGGCCATCATCAGTGGCTGAGTTCAGCCGTTCCCTTTCCCATCACCTGGCACGTTCTGGAGAGACAGCGGAAGAGGAGTCTGGCCCGGGAGGAAAGGGATGCAGAGTCCTGTGATCACAGGCTGAAATTCCCAACAGGCTTCTCAACAAATACAAGGATATATTTCACAATCCTTAAACACAGAATGTTGTCTGTTGTCCTCTGACAACCATCAATATAGAAAATACTCTAGAAACTGCTACATTCCAAATAACTAATTTTAAAACAGATTTTAGAGGAAAAATCTCCAAGATAGGAACTATTGTGTGATATATTGTATCACTGTTAGATCCACTCACATAAAACTGGCCACACAACTGGATACCCCCCCCTTCCTCAAATTTATGTAATTTTTTAAGTCATTTTACTTCTCTTTCTGCTCCTTAATTTGAAAAAGGCATAAGGTACAGCCATCTACAAATCTCCACAGATTGTGAGATTTGGAAAATCTGTAAATATAAGGTACCTTGAGCACCTCAGAGAAAAGAGACTGCCTATGTGAGGTACAGAAAATTCTCGACAATGGCCTTTACAAGGAAGCTGCAGTCAAAGCTAGGGCTTGGGTAAATACACACTAGCAAATGCCAAACTTTTTCTTTCCTTAGGAAAGAAAAGAGGTTGTGTATGATGTAAGGAGAAGAAGGAAAGGAAGACTACTTCGTAAAAAGGAGGGGTTGGGGCATTGTTAGAGGCTGCACTATCCCAAACCCCGATTCCTATGTTGAAGTCCCCAGTACCCAAAATGGGAATGTATTTGAAGATTGAGTCTTTAATAGGTAATTAAATTAAAATGGGGTCTGTAGGGTGGGCCTAAACCAATCTGGCTGTGTCTCCTCATAAGAGGAGATGACAGGCACACATGAAGGGATGACAGTCATCTGTAAGTCATGGAGAATCCTTTAACAAGACCAACCCTCTGCCACCTGGATCTTGGACTTCCATCCAGCCTCTAGCCTGAGAAAGAATGCAACATCTGCTGTCTGAGCCACTTGTATGTACTGAGGCATTCTGTTATGGCAGCCCTAGCACACTAACTGGGCAACCAGGTGGAAAGGGGATTCTGGGAGGAATCAAACAGCCCACTGCCTTAACACCCTCCACACGGGCGACATGGATGGCTCTGGCTCCCTCCTACTCGGAAGAGCGAGGAGCACACCGAACATAGCCTCCTCCTGAGGAGGGCTCTGACCTGCTCCTTGAACAGCTCCCGCAGGGTGGCCATGCACTGCTGCAGCACCTGCTTGTCATCCAGGGTCCGAACTGACGCCACTGCCTCCCCAGCAATCACCGACATCAACACGCTCTGCTGCTTCTGGAGGGACAGAGAAAAGCAGTTCATTTTTGCTTTTGGTAGAAAGTCTCTAAATGCTCAGCTCCAAACAAAGTTCTTGTTCTCACAAGCTGAATTTCATTACAGTACTCCTTTCAGTCACCCCTTTTTCCTCAAAAGCACACTTTGCTCCTCTACCCACCGTACTGTCTCTGCTAGGGAAAACCACCACCACTCAGCAAGTAATAATGCCAAGCTCAGGGTTCTCTGGGCTGTTCACATATCAAACCTTATTTCAAAAGTAATAGAGACTGAGAAGGGAAATCTGCACAGAAAGTAATGGGGAAAAAACCTCAAGTAGCAAAGAAACACTGCAGCTGGCTCCCACATGAAGCCTTCTTAAAGCTAAGCTTGGAAGCAAGAACGTGGGAATTAGCTTCTGTGTGGCAGCAACACAGCTGCACGAAAGTCACCGCAGCCCCCAAGGGCCAGGGGTGCTCTCCTTCCTGCCCTCATCATGCCCCTCCCTCCTCAGCACCAAACGCATCCCACCTTTCCAGTTCTGGAGAAGACTGCCAAAGAGGAAGGTTCAAATCCACTCACTGTTACGCCTATGTCTAGAGACCCCCCAAAGCCGCATGAGGTCTTAGGTAGGGCTTTTTCAAAGGTGGCTGAATCTAGTGTGTGACTGATTCCTGGTGCAATGCTAGGCTGGAGGGCACTGGGATTAAGGGTGTGAGTGCTACTCGCCCTAAGTAGCCTGAATAAGATAAAGGGGGCAGAAGACACTGTTGAGGTCTCTTCTTGCTTTTGCTGTCTTCCGGTGCCAGGAACTGTTGCCCCTCTGCCATGTGCCACCCTGCCTTGGGGCCAGCCAATTATGGACTGAAACCTCTACAGACTGTGAGCCAAGTAAACCTTTCCTCTTTTAACTTTGGGTGCCGGATATTTTGTCTCTGCAATGAGAGAAACATAACTAAGACACTCATTTACAGCACCATGGGTAACTTTACCTAAGAGGGATTCCCCTCTCAGCCTAAAATAACACTTTTCACAGGCATCAACTAATGTCCCAGAAAGCACCATTCTCACTTCAAGAAAATATGGCAAACATTAGGGTTCCTTTCCTACAGGAAAATGTCCCAGCGTAAGTGTCCTCCCTGAATAAACACACACCAACAATTCACAGGGATTAAAAATGGCAGAATAAACACTGGAAGCAGAATACAGCCTCCACAGGACCTGGAATCAAGACACCTGGAGGGGCCAGGGATTTAGCTCAGTGGTTCCACCCCCTGCCTCCCAAGCGCAAGGATCTGAGTTCGATCCCCGGTACCAAAAAAAAAAAAAAAGACACCTGGAAAGCAATGATTTAATGAAGAAAAAAAGAAGTGTATCTGCAGGAATCAAGAATGAGGCAACATAGCTGGGCCTGATGGCACATTCCTGTAATCCTAGCACTTCAGAGGCTGAGGCAGGAGGATCACTCCAAGTTTGAGGCTACATAGTGAGTTCAAGGCCAGCCTGAGCTACACAGTGAAACCCTGTCTCAAACTCCCCCAGAAGGAAAAGAAAGAGGAACAGGAAAACTAGAAACTACAGAGAAACTGAAGAAACTAAAGACAACCCAGAAAAAAGAATGAAGAAGTCTGGAACAGTAATTCCAGTTCTGGAGGTAGGGACCTGTGTCGGAAAACATAACATTGCCCAGAAAGGGTCAGCGGCCCCAGGAAGAAACGCTATACCAGGCCAGTAGCACTAGCCCAAAGAAAAGCCCAGGGTTATTGTAAACTGAAAAATCAGCATGGGGTTTTTCTCAGAAAGAAACTCCTTTCTCAAGACAGGATAGTTTGTAAAAGAAATCCAGTGCAGTGCCTGCCATATTTGAAAGAGTTTAATCAGGAGCCATTCTGGGAAAGGCTCAATTGTTTAAGGCTGAGGTACTCCAGGAATCAGAAGCCACAAACAACTACACTTCAGGATTTCTGGAGTCACCCTACTACAGTGACTGGGGATGGGGGGGGGGGGGGCAGCCATAAGAGACAGTTGTGGAGAGGGTGATGGTTAGACATAGACCCTTACTCCCAGAAGTTTTAAACTCAGGCCAGGAAGCGCACAATGGTCCCATCCTCATTGGTAAGAAGCCAGGGCAGTTAGTTGCATGTGGTTTTCAGAGGGCACTGGGTCTCAAAGCACTTGCCATAAGTTCAGCAAACTGCTTAACCCCTTTCCAATGCCTACACCCAGGAGTGCTCACCCAGTGGTCTGTTTACTTTTCCCATCTGCCAATATGGTCAAGAACACACCTAGCCATGGTCAGGTGCCACCTCCTATGGTGTGTGAAGCAGAGAGGGTGGGGGGCACCTGACAAATTCACAAGCACTAAAGCTAGACAGAGAAAGCCGTGACTCGAGGTGCACAGAGGGACAGGAAAACTGGGAGCAGCTGCAGTGGATGGAGCCCTACAGCAGACACCACTGACCAACTCTACCCAGCAGGCAAGTGGGCCGGGACTTAGCATTCACATACAATATGTGCACAAAGTAGGCCTTAGTAGTGACTCATACTCCTCCCCCGTATCTCACGGATTCCAAAACTGCAGACCCCGGAAAAAAACTACTCACTCAAACACACAGCAAGTTTTTGACTCATTTTTCTTTCCCTTCATTGGTTTTTTGGGGGCTTTGGGGTTTTTATTTTACCTCTTTTCTTTTTAAAAACTTTTTACATTTATTAGTATATGTTGGCAGTACGTATGATTACATTCATTGTGAGACGTTAGTACACGTACATAACACATCTTAACTTTTTATGCCCCCTTCTTCCCTCCTTCCCCTACCTCTTCCTTTCTTTTGATCTTTTTTCTTTGTTCTATTACTTTTATATAATTCAATTAGTTTCTCTTTATTTCTTTTTTTTACGGTACGGGGGATCGAACTTGGGTCCCTGTGCTTGCGGGGCAGGGGGTGGAACCACTGAGCTAAATCCCCAGCCCCTCCCTTTATTTCTTAATTCCATCTTTTATCTCACTTTTCTCTCCTTCCTCATCTTATTTTTCAAATTTTACTTTGTTCATTTCCTTCTTCCTCACCCCCTCCATTTTTTATTAGTATTACTATCAAGCTTTATTAATCTTTATAATATTTAGTTGACTATGCTATAATTGTTGAATTCTTTTGTACTGTTAATGGTGGTAGAGTTGTTGAATTTAGAAGGTATTTACTGTATTGATGTATTTGGTTTGTCTTTGTGTCTATATTATTATTGCAGACCTCTTTTCTATTGTTAAGGGCATTAGTGGTGGCTTTTATTGGTTCTTATGGCATGCCACTATCAGTTTGTCTTTGACTTTGTTATTGTGGCAGATTTCTTTGCTATTGTCAGTGGTGGCATAGTTGCTGCTATGAGTTAGTTTTTACTATATGCTGTATCTGCTTTGCCTTTGTGTCACCAACATTACTGCAGTTCATTTCTGAAGAAATGGGTGTTGGGCCAATGACACTGTACTCTCCCTCTTCAAATTAACAAAGGTGATCAGATCTTGGGACTGACACAAAGGCCTATTAATAGGAATAAATCAATGTGAATTGAATTAGTGAAAGGTAAACTTTCACTAGTAACTCCCAATGTGAATGTCTCAATCCAAAGACATAAATTGGCAGATTGGATCAAAAATAAACCCAATGGTATGCTGTATATAAGAAACACATTTAATCCAAAAAGAAATTCACAGACTAAGAATCAAAGGATGGAAAACAATAGTCTATACAATTGGAGCTCCAAAACAAGCAGGAATAGCTATCCTATTTTCAGACAAAGTGGACTTCAAGCCAAAACTGATCAGAAGCAAAGAAGGTCACTACATACTGGTTAAGGGAACAATTGAACAGAAAGAGACAACAATTATAAATACATTTCATCAAACACTGGTGCACCCAACTTCATAAAACAAACATTAGTGAACATAAAAGATCAATACAATTAATAGTAGGGGACCTCAATGCTCCACTATCACAAATAAACAGATAAATTAGGCAAAAAAAAAGAAATATCAAAGTTGAACATACCTTCAAACTCAGTAGATACCTATCTGCAGAATGTTCCACTCAACACCAACAGGATATACATCCTTCTCAGCAGCACACAGAACTTTCTCCAAAAAGCCTGTAATCCCAGCTCTTGGGAGGGTGAGGCAGGAGCATCACCTTGAATTTAAGGCCAGCCTCGGCTACACAGTGAGCTCAAGGATAGCCTGAACTACATAGCAAGACTTTAATCGAAAACCAACCAACCACAGGGTACAGTAAATGCAAAAAAATAAAATTACCCCATCCATATTATCAGATCATAGTGCTATGAAATCAGAATTCAATGGGAAAAGAAATGACAGAAATTATGCAAACACATGGACATTCGATAATACACTCCTGAATAATCAAGGTGTCACAGAAGGAATCAAGGAAGAAATTATACAGTTCTTATAATCAAATGATAATGCCAGTACTACATATCAGAACCTACAGGACACAATGAAAGCAATCCAAAGAGGGAAGTTTATAGCGGTGCATGTCCATATCAGAAAAACAGAGTGAGCCCAAGTAAATAACCTAATGATGTACCTCAAGGTTCTAGAAAAACAACAACAATCCAAATACAAAGCTAATACAAGGCAAGAATTCATAAAGATCACAGCAAAAATTAATGAAATTGAGACTATAAAAAATACATAGAATCGATGCATCAGTTGGTTCTTTGAAAAACTAATAAACCTTTAGCAAATCTTACCAAAAAAGAAAACGTCCAAATCAATGCAATTAGAAATGAAAAGACTAAATCAGAACAGACACTAATGAAATCCAGATCATTAGTAATTCAAAAGTGTGTAATCTAATAACTGGAGAATCCAGAAGAAATGGATAGATTCTTAGATACATAAGAATTACTATAACTAGGGCCGGGGATTTAGCTCAGCGGCACTGCACCTGCCTCCCAAGCACATGGTCCTGAGTTCGATCCCTGGTACCAAGAAAAAAGAATTTCTAAAACTGAACCAAGAAGATAAAAAAAACCCACGATCCAGTAATAGCTAATGAAATTGAGGCAGTAATAAAAATCTACCAACCAAGAAAAGCCCAAGATTCACCACTGAATTCTACAAGAACTTCAGGGAAGATCTAACACCAATATTCCTCAAACTCTAATGAAATTGAAAGGGAAGAAATACTCCCAAAGTGATTCCAAAACCAGACAAGGACCTGATTAAAAAAGAAAACTATAGGTCAATCTCTTTAATGAACATAGAATTAAGATGTATTATATATCTGTACCAATCCCCTACAGTGAATGTAATCATTATGTCTGGAACTTTTTTTTTTGGTACCGGGGATTGAACTTGGGTCCTTGCACTTGAATGTAATCATTATGTACTGCAAACACGTACCAATAAAAAAGAAAAGAAAAGAAAAGAATTCACACAAAAATGGCTTAGATGTAGCTCAGCCAAACATCATGTGCAAGGCCCCGGGTTCAAGCCCCAGCACCACCCACAAGTTCGTACGCCTGCACATGCACACATACACACAACGAATCTCTACAATATTCATTTGTTGCTGAGCTTGACACGAGTAATTACTAAATTCTATACTTTTAAGAAGAGGATTCAAAGCATGCTTTACAGGCGATTTTACCTGGGGATCCATGTCATAGTATACAGCAAAGAGCCCGCGCTGGCTGGCACTGGGAGGAACATGACCAAAAAAGTCAGCTCCTTGAACTTTGCTGTCCCAAAATCTGTACGGAAATTGCAAGGCAATCTGGAAAACAAGCAAGAGAAAGGCAAGTAAGTGCTTCCTGTTTCAAAATTGCAGACTATGTCTAAGAAGCAACCTGTAGCTCTGCTCTAAAGCAAATCCACGTTTACAATCTCCCCTTTCCCATTTCTCATCTCCTTGGTACTCTCTGTGTGATCTTACTCTGGGGGTGCGCAGTAGAGGGGATCAAGCCCAGGGTCGTGCACATGATAGGTCAGAGCTCTACCACTGACCTACAACCAAGCCTTTGCAAATGTACTTTGACACAGGGTCTTGCTAAATTGCCCAGGCTGGGAACAAACTTAACGATGCTCCTGTCTCAGCCTCCCCTCAGCTCACCCAAACTAGCGGGGATTATAGACGGGCACTGCCATGTCTGGCTTCATGCTTTTTACACCACCAGTTACCTCAGATAAAGCTGGGACCCACTGACAACCCCCAGGCCAGTGTGGCGAAGCCAAGCCAGTGCAGCCCTGGCCCCGGAGCATGGTCTCCTTGTGTCTTGTGTCACTACTCCCAGATCTGCTCACCGCAAATCCTAATTTTAAATAACAAGATGCATTTTCCTGAAAGTTAAAACTCTGACTTCAGCCAGACTTTGGTTTGGGTAATACCCTTTTGTATTCTTTATGAACAATTATTCAAATGAAATCCTTGAATTTTATTTGGGTTTTCAAAAATGACCCAGTACTTCTCTGTAGCACAGGTCCTACCACCTGACATTAATCTCACTTGTCACCTTCTCGATGATGCCAGCGCCCAAGCTGTTGATAGCTTTCATCTTCTTCTCTGACAGTGGTGGATTAAACTGAATGACACCTTTCTGTAGTATGGCCAGTGGAACAGCAACTAATACCTGCAGAAAACAAATAATAGTTAACACAAGGGCTGGGGATTTAGCTCAGAGGCACTGTGTCTGCCTCAAAAATGCAAGGTCCTGAGTTCGATCCCCTGGTACCAAAAAAAAAAAAAAAAAAAAAGTTAACACACACACAGAACAGCTAAACTTAAAACCATAACTACCCAGTGGGTTCATTTCCAGGAAAATCAACACTTGAGGAACATTCCTCTCTATTTCCAGCCACAAGATGGTCAACATTCCATGTGGTTATCTTGTAAGAACAAGGGATGCCCTGAGCAGCTGTGTAGGTTTGTTCACTGCTCAAGGGTGCCTGGCTGAGAAGTAGCATCCACAAGGAGAAATTTCCATAAAGGCTCTGTGGTTAACAATAATCCTGGATGTGAAGAGACAGCAGACGCCAAGCCAAGCAGGGCTATAAAAGGAAACAGCCCAAAACAGGGGATTGGGTGAACTTCCTGTATTGTTCCTGATACTAGCACATGGCAAGCCCCATGGCAGAACCCGCTCTAATAACCAAGTAATGTTTAAAATTAAAACAGATATATCAATGTGCTTCATATATGATGAAGCACACTACAACATGAGGATTATAATCCTGTAAGGGCACACAGTTTTTTAAAAGAAGAAAGTAACTGCAAGGTCTCATTTAGAAGGGCTGAAGAAACAGACACTAAGTTTCAGGTCAAGAATGATTCTCAAAGCCACATCACAAAACCAGGCCATGGAAGAACTATTGTGGCTACAATCAGGAAGCCACTAACTGCTGCTACCAGCTCCTGAATCTCGCCACCTAGAGCCACCTCCACCAGCCAACAAGGCGCCTCCTGGCCTCTTCTTGACTCCCTGTGGCTGACAGCTGGATCCTGGTGCCTCTTCTGTCCCTGCTCCTCAAGAACCGAGACCCTGTGTCTGTCAGCCAAGGCACATGAGGGAGCCCAAGCCCACACACACCTGCCCAGGCTCAGGCAAGAAGGGTGTGGGACTGCCAGGAGGCTGGGGAGAGTGTGTGCATGTGCATGTGTGAGGGCATGTGTGGATGTGTGTGTGTGTTCATTTTTCAGTATCTGCAGGACGAGAGTGGAATGGAGCTGAACCAAGCATCCTGTCCACCTCAGCCCTCACCCAAGACATCACGTATTTGACTGCACCCTAATTCCAGGATCTCAGAAAGCAGAGCATCCTTTCTCCTTTGTCACTATTTTCTGCCACATGAGAACTTTGTAAGGTAGAAACCATGCTCTCTATCCTCAAAACTTCAACAATCTGTTCACAGATAACAGCCTCTCTATGACCAAAACCACCACCACAAAAATAACAAGAATTAACCATTTGAATGATGTATGAGAACTGCAAGAAAATAAACAGTTGTCTTCTTCATAAGACAAAAAGCTTCCAAGAGCACAAGGGCCTGAGTAAACAAAGAGGCAAAGGATACAAACACATTCTAGCAGGGGACGGACGTTGGGTCCCAGGGGAAACCATGAAGCTGGAGCTAGGTACAAGTCTACCATGCAGGTTGGAAAGCATCCATGCACATTTGGGGAGATTCCCAACCCAAACTGCTGAGTGCTAGCTACATAAACATACAAATGTCTGCTTTAAACATTTCCAAGTGCATCCCGCAGCCATGCCTTCGTTTCTCTGGAAGGTTAGAATATAAAGACAGACGGGAGGGCCAGAGATTTAGCTCAGTGGTTCCACCGCCTGCCCCGCAAGTGCAAGGACCCGAGTTCAATCCCCGGTACCAAAAAAAAAAAA